TAAAAACAAATTTAAAAACAGCATATCCAAAATGTCTATGTCAAATGTTTTGTAACTTTGTTAGTTTTGTCTTTAACTACCCTTTACGCAATACGTAAGAATATATAACTTTATGACTGCTTGTCAAGTTACAAAATAATCAAAGTAATACATGAATCAGTATTTTTTTTGGTTAAAATGTTAAACATAACAAAATTAGAAATTTTCACAAACGTTGACAAGTACATGTATGAATTTACGTTTATGTAACGCAAGCGAAACTTCGATCTGTTATTTTCCGTTGCAGACGGTGTGACTGGGGGAGAAGAAACAAAAAATGTTTCTTCTACGGCAAGTCACGTGTACATGCTATTTGTTTCTTTTCATGAAATACTGTTAAGAACATTTATGTACAAGAAAACGATTGTAAGTTTGACGTTTATTCTGTTAAGTTACATACAACACTATTATCTCTTGTTGTTGATCAAGTAACCTCACACAAGTTTTTTGACCTTTGCACAACATAGATAAAATACTACTGTCATTTCTACGAAAGATGTAAATTTCTGCTATGTTTATATAATATCAGCAACTACATTATATTATATAGTGTGTTTTAACATATATTTGTATATTGTTTGTTCCTGTGTCTGTTTAGCTGTTAATATTGCGTAATTACATTCATCACCCACCTTGTTTACATGATATGTTAGTACCTGTGTCCTTGAACTGTAAGGTTCTTTATTGTACAGATTCCAAGATGATGTACAGATTTCAAAAGAAATCGTACTTTAATAAGGTGAACTATATAATATACTTGTTTTCGATATTTTTGGTTGCATCGTTATGATGATGATACTGATGATGATGATGATGATGGTGGTAATTAAGGTGGTGGTGGTGGTGATGGTGGTGGTGGTGGTGGTGGTAGTGCTGCTGCTGATGCTGATGCTGATGATGTCAATCATTGATTTTTGAAATTTCATGCTTTCATTATTTGTTTCTTTTTTTCTGTTTTTATTTTTAGGAAGTAACTTCAGTTTAAAATAATTACAAGATTATTATTTTTTCCGGGGAGTGGTGTTGATTATGTGTTTGTTTTGGGTTATTTACTATAACTTTATGGTATGTAATTGACTAAAAGAACAAGATGTTTGATATAATAGCTACTCCTCTTTTTTTCTCTATATGTGTACACAATAATGGCTACGTGAATTTATCAGTAAACAACAACAACAACAAAAGTATGTCCCTGTTGCATATATTTCAGCTATTTCTGTAACACTATCAACGGAGAGCCATCTAGATTCACCAATATTATTATTCTGACCACACATACAGCGCGACTTTATCTAATCTAGTCGTCTCCAAACCTTTACCGTATCTTGATCTATCCATTACTTGATGTGGGGGCCAACACATGCCGGATTATCATCATTGTTATATCCTATGATGCTAATTGTCAAATGCCCAGGTTCTTGTTTACACCACGTGACTGATGAATTGTGACAAACAGTGCATACCTTTCCTGAACCTTCGGGCTTATCAGGCCTTGTCTATCTGTAATGTAGAACAAGGTTGGACTGTAATACCTCGGCGATCACTGTTTTCAGCTATGATGCGGATATCCACAGATTATTATCTTGGTTTGATTAATATTATCCCGGTCACTTCAGAGGGTAGTGTTCGATGGTTGTACCTTTGAATCTAAATTGGATAAATATGACGTTTTGTATGACCTGTACCCATGTAGTACAGAATGAGCATATGTTTCTTAGCGTTGCCTTGAAATAATTTTATACTTTCGGAAGTAAAAAGGAAATTGATTGCTCTTGAATATTCTGAACTTTAGGCAAGGCAAGGGTATTAACAAGAAACTTGCTTGTTCAAAGGAATATGAATTTAAATAGATGAAGGCGATTAACATTTGCTGACGGTTCTGTTAAACATACAACTACAACAAAATGCAAGAGTGTTGCCGATTACCTTGAAAGCTAAAATATTATAACTTTGTTTAATTAAGGTCAGACATGCAAATGCATTCTTTTTGTAATACATGCTTTTAAATCTATCGAATAACGCTTGGACACTTCACTCCGGTTTTCCTTGACAAGTTCCGTTTTGATACCAGGATGAATTAAACTAAAACTCCGTTTATAATTTGTCTAGACTTTTATTGTCGTCAGAAAAAATCAAAAGTATGTAACATAAGACATTTTGTATAGGTGAAACATGCTGACCTGTCGTTTGTTTATTGTCTTAAATTGTTTAATAAACGTAGCCGTCTAAAGTGGTTAAAACATCAAAGTAAATAATATTCATAGTCTTATTTTAGAACATCAAACACCAAAATTTCACAACAATTTGAAAGCAGAAAGCACGTCAAAATTATTTGCTCTTGTGTTTTTATGTTTTAAATATCTTTAAAAATATAGAGATAGAATAAAAGATACTCTCTGTTTTGTTTTCATCTCAGTGGGTTTTTTTCTCTTGTAGTATATTATCAAAAGATTTTGTTTGGTATTCACAATGCAGCCATTGCTTCACGAGCAATGACGTCATATGTGTGGTTATATCATTTTTTGGCACAAAGGTGACTTTTTATTGTGAAGCTATGAGACAACGACAGGTTATCATGTTTGACCTATAGTTTTCATATCAAACAATTTCAAAATATTCGGAATGACATAAGATACAATTCATGCATGAAAACAAACATTTAATATTACATTTTGTGTCAATTATAATAAATAAAAAATAGTAGAAGAGAGACATTTAACGTAACAAAAAATATAACAATAGCCATAGCACTTGTTTATTTATTTACACTGATAAGGATCAACTTTCTTTTTAGTTAGAAACGAATATATATTAGGGATATAACTTATTTTGTAGCTTTGCCAATTTTGTAGGTAAACAAATTGTAGTGGTAAACTAAAACTAAATTGTAGTGGTAAACTAATTTTTTAGGTAAACCAATTTTTCAGGTTGTATAAATCAACTTTCCTGGTACTCAAACCAATTTGATAGACCCGTTTTGTAGATAGAGAAGTAAGACTGGGCCATGCAGTACAGTTTGTTTGTAGCAATTATCTTTTAAGCATGGTAATTTTACATTAAGAGATAAACATGTGTATGAATATATTTTTATTTGTCATATTCTGTTAATTGCTGGGTTGTTTTTTCATTTAAAACTTAGCAGCCGAAATTCATAAACTCTTTACCCAATCGATTTAATTATGGATAATTTAATTAATAAAATTTATAAGAAAACGGCAAACAACAAGCAAGATATGCACAAAACAAAGTAAAAAACAAGATATAGTTTCATTTAATATTCTCAAAAGACCAAATAACTAAATACGTTTTAGAACCACAAATGTACCACAGTAACATTTCAAAAAGTGGCATATAATGTTTATGTAAAATTGTATTCAAAATATATAACAAGTTTGTAATGTTAATATTTTGTATCATTTTGTACGATTATGTACGAACAAGCCAAAATAAAATAATGTTCTGTTTTGTATTGCAATGCCTTTATTTTTGTAATTAAACAAACCGAAGTATAAATCACTTGAGTAAGAATAATGGAAAGGTCCTGATTTGGCATAATACACAAAAATGTTATGCTAAATTTATACTCTGACTCAAAAACTAAATTCCTATTAATGTCTATGCATAACCCAAACGCATTGGAAAAATCAGAGGTTGTTAACCAAAAGCAGAGGACATTACAATTTAGTTCAATCTTTTTATGTAAATATGAAATATATAATGTTGTAGCCAACATGTAGCATAAGATAGTAACAAATAATGAAGCAACTTTATGAATAGTGTGTTTTTAATTATTCCATATATTATTATGTTCTACCATACGAGACAGACACCTCCCAAAAATTGTATTCGGTCAATACAAGAAATATTTTTTGAGAACAATCTATATAAATATTGATTCAGATGTGGCATGGTAAGAGACAAAGAATGATATAGCAGATGTAAGATAAGATATGAAAGAAATATCTTTGGACCAGATCATTATATTTTAATGCCCAATGACCTAGATCTTTTCTTCAAACTGTCTACATGGAAAAAAAGACAGAAAAAAAGAGACAAGAAAAAAAGAGACAAGAACTTTGTTGTCCAATTTCATAAACTTTGCTAATGATAATATTAAAAATGAAATTTTAAATACACAAGTTACCATCCAATCACACACACTGTCTTTTTGGCTTCTTAACAAACTATGTTTAAATAGTTAACGTTTACAAAATTTATTAAAGAAATTCATGCACATAAATCAAAACTACTTTTATTGTTTGCATTTATTCACTCATAAAGAACAAAAAAATATAGAAGAAAAGAAAATAAATGTCGAAAAGAAAAGACATAAAGATCTCCCAAATTGAGAGCAAATAAATTAAAATTGATGCATTGCAATGAGTAAACAAATTCAGCAATTTGTGTCTTAGGTGCAAATTTCATATAAAACAAGAAAATGTATTTGTAAAACGACCTGACGTTTTAGTTATAAAACTGAAAGCTCTCGCAAAAACAAGCAAGGTAGCGACATTAATTGTTAAAATCGTGTCTAACAGTCGCAATGTTATGTCTTTGTCTTGCACTTTTGTGGTACATTGTCACCGTATTAGTGACGATTTTATACAAGTATTTACAACATTAATGTCTTATATGACTCCAATTTCTTAATTACCTTACATTAAACAACATTCAGTCTTTTCTATCAAACATAGTTTTTCAAAGGAAAGTGAAAAAAAAACATAGCACATTCAATAGCCATATAAATGTCAGCTACAGGTATATCATTTTCAAACTTTTACTTTCAAGTTGAAAAATACGAGTTTTGATGAACATAATCAAGTAAAAAGTTGTCGGACAGAAAGCATTTTTTGCTGACAGTATTATGTCAAAACTGCATGTATTGCTTTAAAATAGTACTTAAACATGTATAAAGTGATATCTGGCTTTTATTAAAAAAATAAAACAAAAAAGCGTTTGTATTCTGGCTTTAACTAAACAAATAAAATCCTATACATATTCTTGGCAGCAGAAAAAATAGACTGGAGACTGGTCCAACGCAGACCAGCTTACGCTTTCACTGAACATTTAATTAATGAATAGTTAATCGATATCGCAATAGAAGGGGAAAGGGTCAATAAAAGTCAGTGTACGCCTAGTGAGAAAACACTAGTAGCAGTCTCTCTCACACAATTAAGACATATTTATAGTTGCCTCTCACCTTCTATTTGCCGGTGATTTTTGTCATCAGCGACGTATTTACCTTTAAAAGTCACATATATCGCTACCTAATGTCAAAGATTTTTTTTTACAATAAAAAGTAACAGATCTGATATAAAAGAAGAAATGACAGCTTCTTCCATTAAGATTAATTGCCCTCGGTTTGCTTATCCTTCCATTCGATCACGAATATTCGAAATTTTGTAGTTTTTCTATCTGAGGACAGATTTCCTTGATTTTGATTGGTTGATTTTATCAAGTGAGGCCAGATGATTCACTATGGCAAAACAAATGATGAATTTGCTGTCATTTTAAAATAAACTTTCTCACTTTATTATTTCATGCAAATTCATATTCGCCTTTTCAATGTCGAATATCTATTAATCATCAAGTAATATTGTGCATTGATATTGGTTTTTATGTGCATCAATCAAGTGTGAAGAAAAATATTGCAAAAAACGTGCTTTCTCCTATTATATGTCCAACCACTTGCATGACGTCTACAAGGATATTTTATTCAGTTCGTAATAAATAAAACATAACTTTCCGTCGTCATCGAATTCTAGAAGAAAGCAGCAGCACCACAACATTTTACAATAACAAAGCTTTTGAAATTCTGCGAGAGCATGTACATATATATTTAAAAATCACCCGTATGTAACCTCATGTTTTCAGGGACACTAGTCAAGTAGCTGTTTGTCTCATCAGCAAACGAATTCTGATAAAAGTTTTTCAGACGCACAGTCAATTTTCCCTCCTACATTTGTAACACAATCCAACGCTTCTTCTCACTTTCAGTAGGTCAATTTAGAATGTTTGAACATTTGTTTGTTAAGAAAAGTTTTAAACAAATGTACTAGTAACCATGTTCATTTTGCCTGATATCACCAGTACTCCTTTGATACCTTTACTACCAATAACATACTTCTCAGATTGTTGTTCATATAAATATTCGTCAATTGTCTCCACAGATGAACAATTGTTGTTTTTTGTACATTTCTAAAGTAAACTATTCAAATTAATCATATGATAATTAATATATGTAAGTCATAATAATTAAAGCAATGTTCGTATTCCCTATCCAACTATCGTAATTCAGTCATCGTATCTAGGTTTCTTTTTGTGAGATCTCGAACGGGCGTGTACAGGGAAGAAAGACTCGGATATGGTCTTGAAAGTCCCGGAGATGACAGACCATTTAATGAATTCAGACTCTGATTTACCATACTAGATGGTGATTCTCTAGGCCTTTGTGTCCCTAGAGTGTTGTAGGTCCCTGACATTGGAGAAAAAAGGGAAGATCCGACATTAAAGGATGTCTCCAACCACGGTCTCATGGTGTTTCCTGTAGATGTATAAGTTGGGGCTGACATTGGCATTTGGTTTGAATTTGGTGGTTTTAATTGTGTAAGATTGGCATTCTGATCTTTATGGTCCATCATAGGGGGGACCATTCCTGCTGCGGAAGTTGCGACATGGGCAAGGGACCATATTCTGGGTCGTAACGGGTCGCTTTGATCTGAAGCAGATCCATTCGTAGACATGGACCCATTTATATCGCTGAGACCGGAATCGCTGCTATTTGAACACGGGGAGCCAAGCCGTTTGAGATCGTTACCTAGGTTTAAATCTGGAACTAGAGTGGCTTGTGGCTTCAGCGGAGGCGGTGTCAGAGAAAGACTGGCTTCCAATCCTAGACGGTCGTCATTCGGTGTGTTAAAGCTAGTTAATGTTTTTGTGTCTTTGTTTTGTGTCATCTGTGAATCTAATCCATCTGCAAATAAACATGATAATTTCGTGAACATAAATATCAAGATATATATCGAGCAAATATTAAACACTCCTCCATTTATTACATCAGCATGATATTTTTAAAATGGTCAGAATTTTTGTCTGAGTCGAAGGAAACTCTGAATGAAAAGAATATAACTGGGAAGTATGTAAATGATTTTTGTTTCTAAATTCCTTTTTTTTAGTGTAGTGAGAGTTGTTTATATTTGAGTTAAGCATATTAGTGAAATAGAATCATTATATAGATATAAATACATTAGCAACGTGCATTTAGATTAATGTTTAATTATCAAAATTCATAGTGTTTTACAAAGTAACGTTTGGTAAGAGTAATATATTTTTCATTTATGTTTATTTCACTTACTTATTAAACTGCATAAGCTGTAAGATTTATATTTTTGTAGATGAGACAGAATTCTTCTTCCGAATCATGTAAGTAGGCAGTGAAATTTTATTTTACGCCATCAGTTAAGCGTAATAAAATGAGAAAATAATTTAAGAGCCGGGACAAATTAACAAATTAGTTAAAGTTTAACTTTTTGTCATATCTTAAGTTAATTTTCTTAAATATGCTAAGGAATTTATGATCGGGATTTTTTATGAGGGCTGTGTAAATTTTAATAGTAAATTAGCGGTCTTAAATAAATGTTTATGAAAAAGTTTTCTTTTAATAATGGACCAAGATCCTTTAAACTGCTAACATATTCTTTGACACTAAGGTATCTACACTTGAGAAAAGTAAGTGTTTAGCAAATGAAAATGGATAAAAATTTCAACACCTCACATACGACGTTAATGTCATGACAAACACGTCAGTCAAACGGTAGAAGCAAGTTTCCAGTATAACAAAACATATCACTTATCACGGCAAAAGTGTTAAAAATCGCCGGATTATGCTTATTTTCAAAATACATAAAATGGATCTAAAGATTATATCCAGCAACAATCTGATATCTTAAAGATTGACATAAGGCGTTTTTAACTGCCACAAAATTCTCTTAGTTTATCATCACTAATCTCAGAGCAAATACAACCATATTAACTTGACAGCCCTTATCATGGAAAATTAGATTATCACTTCACAAAATAATTTATTACAAATATGCCAGATTTTGTCATAATTATGTTTTAGGCTCGTGTGATGTTTCCGTTTAGTTCTGCGGGATTTCAGACTACAAATGTATTTTTGACGAAATGTGTTTTCTTGTAAACGCATGGTAAAAATCAGATTATATTTATATTCCCCCGCACGCACATCTTTTATCACTATGCTCAGTTTCAGCATTATCTATGTTTGACTGTTTTTATAGTTTTATTGTCTGTACTGACACAATTTGTAAAAACATCAGTGTTCAGTATATTACGATTCTGAGACATTGGTACTAAGTTAAATGCAGAAACTGAATAAAAAGTGTCTGTCTCAAGATATATTTCAAGGTGATGCCAATCTGATTCTTTATTACAGATACAGTTTTTCTTACTTCCCACCAAGCAAATATAAATCATTTGACAGAGACTACCATCCTCAAGGCGTGCATGGTGTTCTTTCCAATGTTACAATGCATATCTGAGCGTATTTTTAGTTGCTGTTTTTTTTTCGCTCCACTTGAACTATCTCTACAAATCTATTGCGTTTTTATTGCAGGATAGCGTTATTTGTGATCAAGCGCTATTATAATGGAGGCACTTATTTCACGCGAGCGCGTGTCACTGACGTTAGTGTGCGCTTTATTCCATTGATAGTCATAGTCTCCAAGCGAGCGAAGAAAAGACCCAGCCGATTAACATTGGAAGTAAACTCGATACAATATAAGCTAGAATCAATCACAGCTAATTGGAGAAAATTGACTGAACATCAACAAAGTTAAATATTTCTACGACAGAAGATCTGACGACTGTTGTTATGGCAGCTCCTTGACAACGCACGTGCACTGCTTCAACAGCACGTGACCGTGTTGTATTGCAACCTGTCCATAAAATTCTGTCAGAATTATGTTATAAATTACATTAATTTATTGTCACTCTTATTTATTGATTTATGAAAGCAATCCACAAAAGATATTTAATTGCGGTTATAGGGTTAATGCTTAATTAGTTTTAGCGAGAATGAAACGGTATGCCTACACAATTACAGTCGTCGTTGTTTTAATTCATTTATCAACCCTTGTGTTTAAACTCCTTATAAAATTTCAAATTGTTAAAAGCTGCAAGCGAAGATTCAGGTGATTACGTCTGGAAAATACAGATCAGCATCTAAAACTGGGTGATACTGTTCAGCGTCACAGTTGATGCATTCACTAATATTTCTCAAATTAACCATCAGTCCAAATATTGACATATCAAGTATTCCGTCTCCTCCCCGGTAATAATGGTGTTTATTAAAGGCGTTTTGGAGTCATACTGAGATACTATTTAAGCGCTCAATTATACCATCAGTCCGTGGATTCCCTTTCACAAAAGCCACATAGTCAATATAAATTCATCTGCAACCTCAAATTGGAAGTCAAGGGGGTCAGGCAACAGAAAATTTAATCAACCTTTCATAAAAGCATCTCAGTTTTCATTAGGAATGATAATTGGCTCCTCAATGTAATTGATATCATTAATGATTGATTCTGTATCAAAATTGAATCGAGTTTTACCGGTAAAGTAAATTGCGTTCAATTTTGATGTAACAAAACATAATAATAAGTTAAAATTTTATAATAATTCTTATGTTAAGTCTTACATTTTTATTAAAGCTACATGCACTAACTATGACTTTTCTGTTTTTGTTGCTGATATCTTATTTATTTAGAATTAAAATATAACCGGCACTAGGGTGGAGAGGTGAATGCAATCAAGTTGACTGAGCTCAACTTTGAACATTTTATTGCAATTGCAGTTTAAAATATATATGCCCGACATCAAATTAGTACTAGACTAGTATTCATTTGTTTTCCTTCATCTTATCTACTGATTTTATATTATTGTAAAGGGGTTTGTAGATTTTACCATTGAATAAACAAACAAACTAAATGTGTGTAATTTAATGAACTAATATACAAGATAGAATAATGAAATTTAACACGGCAAAATGTATCTTAATGAAATTAAACACGGTAAAATGTTGTAGAGTCTGGTACTGAATCGAAGTAGTTAACGAATGCTACCGTCTTCACCCCCTAGCACAGGCTTGAGCAGGCTATAAACGTATCATTTATGTTTTAAATTGTTAGAATGAGAACGGATATAACAGAGAACGACTCGGTGAAGTGTTATTAAATCCACTTAAATATACATTCAGGGCAACACCCTTGTGTTTATGACGTAATATTTTTCAAAGTTAGTGTTTAGTGAACATGGTTTAATGAACGGTAACTAATTGTGATATTTAATTTACAAGGTCTCGAATGCATTTTGACAAGACGTGACAACGTTTTGTCTTTATAAACAGGATGTTCTCGGTTGTCTTGATTTATTTTTATTTTAATGCAACACGATAGGCTTAGGTCTCAATTAGCTTTGAAGTTAGAGTTTGTCATCTGGCCTATGATTTGCTGGTATGCTTTCGTCTTTAATTGCTTGTGAGATTACAAAATTCATATTTTTTATAAAAAAAATTGATGCAAAAATTTGTAAAAAAATAAATCGATATTCAATTAAAAGGAGAAAAATATATAATCAGATACACTTAAACAAAAAAAATCATTAAGTGGAAGAAGTTCCTTTTCCAAGTTAAAATACTTGCATAGTTATATTAATTCCAAGCATTTCACTTTGTCAACCAATACGCATGCTTAGCAATTAACACATCGAAATTCCGGCCGAAAACAGACAATGTGTAAATAAAATAAGTTATCTTTTTACATATTTTAATAAAAGTTATCACTTAACTGCCGCCTGTGGCTTTTAAAATGCTAAAACTTATGTTCACTTTACCTTCCATATCTTTATCATTTGAGTCGTTGTGTGTTTTGTCTGTATCTTTTTTATCTCCATCATCACTGTCTTCGTTTTTGTCAGCATCGTCGTCATCATCATCTTCACCACATCTGTTTCTAGGTGACCATGTCATTTTATTCTCTTTCTTTAGACGTCTCCTAGCATTTGCAAACCAGGTTGAAACTTGCGTAAGAGTCATTTTTGTAATTATTGCTAACATAATCTTTTCACCCTTTGTTGGGTATGGGTTTTTTCTATGTTCATAAAGCCATGCTTTTAATGTGTTCGTCGTTTCGCGCGTTGCGTTTTTCCTTCTGGCTGCTCCATTTAGATCCATGCCGCCGTAACTGAAAATAGATGTAACTTTTTGTATAAGTTGTTTCTCGTTTTATATCACATGTCATGTGCGTTAAATTCATTTGTAACATCAACACAATTATAGTAGTTTTGAAATTTTTGTTGTACATTACATCATACAATATCGTTTTTCCCTTCTTAGATTGCAGCGAGTAATTGTAGGAAAATATTTGTTGCAGTTTTTACTTGATTTTATATTCTGTTTCAAAATGTAAATCAAAATTCTCTATGTTTTCATGGGAATCAAAAGATAACTTTTATTTCTTGTATTTCAGAAGCTGGAAAGTATAGAGACATTTTATCTTGAACACAGCCTTTGAGTATTCATATTTTTGAGGTGTTTCTTTAAGTGAATTCGTATTATCATTCGTATTTAAACTTGAATAACTAAATGGATGTTCAAAGAGCGTGTTCAAGTTCAACAGACCGCACTTTGATTTCAAATAAGGTATGTATTAGCTACGTGTAAACTTACGTGTTTGGGTAAGGGTATGGGACCATTGTCTGATCGTATGGGTAGCAGGCTGTCGGCTGGGTAATTCCACGCCAAGCATCGGCTGAAGAAGGATCCTTCAGGGTGTCAAAATGTGCAGCAGCATTCTGTTTAAAAATAGAAATATATTATTATATGTTACATAGTAGTTTAAGATTTATCTTATGTATACCTACGAATGAAATAAAAAAACTTTGAATTTAGCAAAGTATGTTGTATACTGAAAATCATGTTTTTTTTTTAAATAAATCATTTTTATCTATCTGGCATTTTCACTTTTCCCAGATAGAATATATGTTCAATTATTTCTTTTAAATGATTTTCATACAACGTATACCACTAATGCTGAACTAATCATAAATAAATGCATCATTGCTTTGAAATTTAAACAATTTTTAATAAAAAATATAATTTCTGTTTGAAAATTATCACTTTTTACAATTTTTCAATTCATGCTGAAAAATCTTTTTCTCTTTTTATTATTTACGCATAGTTTGCACGCTGAAATGGGCGTAAAACAGTGGCCAAAAAAACATGGATGTTTGTGGTCAACTTTTGTAGTAAAGCAGTGAATGACCATTTTTACGACTCTATTAACGTCTGTTTAATTATTGACACGCGCGGACAATTAAAACTGATATGGCGCCTCCCCGCCTATATGGACACGCTTACCATCATGTCGTTCACGCATTACAAAATAATAATATGTTTATGAAATTAAATTCATCTTTTGTTGTGGCTGTTAACATATACTTGATTTCTTTTAAATATTAACAACAATGTATTTCCTTTTAGGTTAAATAATAAATAAAATGAATAAAATTTGTTGTTGGTTTTGCTTTTTGCGTCTTTCTTTAAAATTTTGTTTGGTACGATTTTTGTCGCCTTTCAGAAATACAATACAAATATTTATCAAATTCGTGTATTACACATACTCGCGTAAAATTAAGTCATAAATATATCCATGTATATGAGATAAAATAAAGGTGAAATCATGTATATATTTAATGATTATGTATTACCATTTTAAACAAACCCCTCGAAATAACTTTCTCCTATTCTATAAACAATGTAAACAGTGTTTACACATGATAGTGTAATTATCAGTTCTAACAATTGACTACTGTTTGTTTTCAACAATACTTGAAACTGTTATCTTATCAACCCATTGGTTCAAGATAACCTCACAAATAGTCGGTGACAGTTGCTAACATTATTGGGATTTCAACTGTTTATTTCTTTGTTTCATATTTTGAACATCTGTTTTAATGAGTTTTTATATCAATGTTCTAACAGATTCGTAAAAATAGTACATTTTGATAGCGTCTTTTGATATCAATTTTACAAAAACGATGTTAAACTGTGAATTGCATGTTTGATATAACGTAGGGACATCACTTGTCAATATTTGTATATTTGATGTCCATATAATATAAGAGTACATTTTAATTGCGTCTTTTGATGTCAATTTTATACTGTCTGTGAATTGAATATTTGATATAACGTATGAAAAATCCTGTTTTTCAAAAACGGTCGACATCATGTAAATAGTATGTAAATAGTCTATTTGATATATTTTGTTTGCTATTTTCTCTCTTTTTTTACACAAAAATTGCAAATTAATCTTTTATCTTTGGATGCGGCCTCAATACAGTTGTAACAGAGTCAAAATCAAATTATGAATACATGAGAGAACAATCGAATGTATGTAATAGCATTATTAGAATTGCAACAAAATTACACAAGTGGTACGCATTGGGTTTTTTATATTAATATTTTTACATTTACGTATACGGTTAAAGGGAGACACAGGCAAAATTTTCATTTCTTAGTTTTGAGTTTTTCAGTCATTATTCTGTAAATGCCCTCAAAATGAATATATTAGACAGTCAAAGGAACAAAACTTTTCTCCATATAAAGAATAAAATGGTGGTTTCCTAACTTGACCCGCGTGGGTCAGGTTAGAGCGCTAGGATTTCACAATAGTTGTCAAAGTGAACTCTGGAAACGTTAAAGAACATGTCAAATGAATGACTTAGACTTGTTTCAATCATACAATATCCATAATATCTGTTATTGTAACTTCAAGGGTTTGTTCAAGTCATGTGACTTGTTTTAAAACTATTTGGTGATTCTATTCGGGTCTAAATTTTGTTCAACATATATAGATATATTTACGCTTCAAACCCAAAATATTTAGAATTTAAACAGAAATTCATGCTGAAACTTCAAGAAATGTCATTTTAGCGTGATTTGAGTACATAAGATCATTTTAATATTTTTGTCATTATTTTGTCTGAATATCCCTTTAAATACGTTTTTCAGTTTTTGAAAAATTGTCCCTAATTACATACAATGAGGCTCAATGAGTAATAAAAACTAAAATTCTGCTTACGCCGGTGCTAGGGGGCGTAGATGGTAACTTGTACTTGCCACAACCGTCCCTGCGAACATAGCCGGCAGCATTTCATTTTTTTCTGTTTTGTGCGTTTATTAGGGATTCTGTTTATTTATGTTTTTCTATTTTACAAATTTTTATCGCTTCTACAAATCATAGCGATGTAATCGTTTATTATTGCCATTTGTTTATATATTTTGTAATCGGCCGTGGGTATCCGACAATGAGATTCTGTATAATTGTGATGGTATTAATAACCTTAAAAATATATGTATATTTAAATAAAAGAAAGCTTTTTTTTCTATTCTGTTTCTACCTTTTTAGTATTTATAACAAAATATTTGATATAAAACTGCCGTTTCTCATATACTGTATTTATTCATTTTTTAAATCGAGAAGAAATGAAAGATTTAAAACATATGTTTATGTGATAAACTTTGATAAAAGCGTATAACACATTTTGTTCCATAGAAATACATGTAATGCCAATGCTGGAAGCTATTTCTTTTGCGATAATGTGTTTGAAAATAAATCTTATTGGAACTTTTTTTGAAAATAAATGTTATTGAACCATTCATACCATTTATATAGTAATATTTGATTTTATTATATTTTCAAAATAATATCATTTTTCACATATACTTGTCATGTATTATACATCTAATATTAATGTTATAGTTACATTTGCTGTCAATTTCATGAACTATATATACAATTATGATGATATACAATGTATATTGTATATTCCTGTTCTGCTTCTTTTCAATTTTGAAAAATAAATGGGTACAATGATATTCACATTAGACATACTGTTTGGCGCCATGTTACCGTCAAATCATTGATACTTTCATGAATCATGAATTAATATAAGTGCTAAAATATCCGTATAATTTCAATCATACGGATACCTTTTCTTTATCAAGTTACAAAGCAATACAGTATTCTTTATCAATCTTAAGCCCAAACTTCCCAAGACGAATTGAAACAAAAACATCATCGGCTTCTTCTTTATCAAACTGAAACAAATTCCTAGCATTAACTAAGCTCGTTAGCCTGACATCTTAGCACAGACCTCACCGGCGAAACTTGCAAATTCTTCTTAATGAGAAATACGATTTTTAAATTAGGGCTGTCATGATGGAATCGTCCGCGCGGAGTGATACAGACCATATTCCTTGGATAGGCGCTATCTGTAGGGTAGTGAAATGAGGATTTCGAAGAATGAATAGTCTCGTGCTACCACTCATGACGCCATCCTGTGGAGAGCTAACAAGATACAAATTTGAAGCAGCGTTAAAACGACTCTATAAAACAGTTGGAATTAGACTTTTAAGAACCGCTGTAGGACTATAAAATATAAATGCTACGGATAGACAGTTAATTTAAACAAATAGTTGCTCATTGCATCAAAATTCTCTCTTTAAAACGGCTTTTTCGTCTTGTTATAAGCGGAATGAACGTGGTTGTGTACCCGCTGTGTTGAAATTTGTGAAAACACACCACAGACTAATTATCGCTCCCCATACTATCTTCAGCAGCTATCAGACCGAGACAAGATGGCTGACTGCCGTAGATTTTTATCTCATTTCTGCAAAATGGTTCTTTATCTCCCATTTTAGCATGCTCTATAGCGAAACTAAGTGTTGTAAATGGGTAGAGAAGAGAGATCCACAGTGAACAATATGCACCCCCTAGGGAGCAGTAGTTATCCACTTTAGATATAAACCCGCTGATGTTCACTTGCTTCCCCACTTTTATAGCAGACATGGGGATGACAGATTGCTTCTAAAATGGGTCTGAAAGAGTTTCTTCAAAAGGCCCTTCTGATCAACAATAAAAGATAAAAGTTCCTTTTAATCATTTGACTGCAGTTTTCGATGAAGAGATAGTATGACCCATGCGTTTGTGTGATTTAGATGCACTTATTATCTCGTCCTGTCCGTTTCATAGTTAAACTCTAAAATTATTGCAATATTTGTAAATTGAATTACCAGTAATATTCAATTCATCGGATATTTTGTCTCTATGTAATGAAACAAATTCGTATAATCTGTACACATTCGAATATGAGTTTTGCGTTTGATAGTACAACATTTTTTGAAACTTTGAAACTTAATTGAAATAACAATAAAAATAAAAGTAGAATAAGTAAATTCCTACGTATAATCTGAAAAATGTAAATACCTTAACAATTAGATCGAATTAAAAGTTACAAATAAATATCATTCTGAAATATACCGTCATTTTTTTTATATAAAAGGTGAATGCGCGTTTTTTTTATAAATAATTTAATAATTTTTCAATTGCATAATTTCAAATATTTAATTTACTTATAAAAAATATATATGAAAGTTTGTATTGCGACTTAATACTTTTAAAATTCTTAACATACAATGCACTTTTTAAATGTTTAAATGTATGTCTGAATTTAATATATTATTTCTTTTGTAAAAAAAACTACCAAACTAAAAATGTAACAAAACAACAACATCAAAAAAAATCTGAATTTATGCTCGCCAACATGGTCTTTCACGATGACAAAGATAAATAAAAAACAACCAACAACAACACATAACACTGTTACACTTGTATGCGTTGAAATAGTCTACGACAAAGTGCAGCGGAAAAAAAGAAGTAAAAAAAACTAGAGAAATACAAAATAGTACTATTTCATTAATGAAAAAGAATTTGTGTTACTGATCATAGAAA